GATAACTTTTAATCAAATAAATTTGTTTCTTACAAAACTATTCTAACCTATTTTCTTAAATTTTTGTTTGTTTTTTATTGTAAAAAATCCTTTAACACATTAATGCTGATTTATAAGCTTTTAGTTTTCAAGAATGCATGACAATTCTTAAAAATATATCCTTTTCTTAAATATAGCTAACTTCCAAAAATATCCAGTGTATGAGGACTTTACTTAACTTGGCGCACTGCCATGGGGCTGTTCTGGGAACATCCTGGCAACTCGTCTTGGCAACGCTCCAGGTATGTTGTGGTGTCTGGGTCAGAGGTCAGCGCTGTTTTCAGATGTAGTTGCCTAGTGGTTAACCTGAGCAGTGCCTATTAGTGCTTTGGGTAGGCCTAAGGAATATAAATAGTAAGTATGAAAAAAGCAGGTTGGAAAGGAAATAAAGACGTGACTCATCGGAAGTGATGGGGTGCTTCTTGTAATGGCCTAAGTTTGGTAAATTTTTTATGATTTTAATTTTAGTTATTAAAAGCATACTGCTTTCAGTTTTAGTCACTAGCAATTACTACTGAATTTTAGTTAATAGAATTTTAATAGATCTATAAATTTTGTTTTGATTTTTTAAATTTTATAGCATCTTGTATGGATTTTGGGATTAAAACCTAGCAGTGGCGGTGCCTTGAAACCCGGACGCGCTGTGGAAGGACCCAGCACAGTAAGTTCTAGTCGTCTTTCCCAGTCAGTGCTTCCCAAAGGTCATTGGTGACGTTTAACCATATTCTTTTCTTAGGTTCTAACAACAGCAGTGATGACTGATTTACCAGTGATTTCCAATATACTTTCAAGATTGTTTGAAAGCTCACAGTAAGAGTCAGTTTTTTAAATTGATAAAAAGCATTCTTATTAGCTGTATATTTTAAAAATCAAAATAACATATTTCTTCATCTTTATTTTAGGTATCTTGATGATGTATCATTGCATCATTTAATAAATGCACTTTGCTCCCTGTCTTTAGAAGCAATGGATATGGCCTATGGGAATAATAAGGTGGGGTGTTGTACCTTTCTGTTTACATTTGGTACGTTAGTTATACGTGTGAGGTATGCGTCTGTTGTACCCAGCTTATGTATTAACCATACTCTTTTGGTCTTTACCATGTATAATTGTAATTTGTTGAAGGGCTAATAACGAGGACATAGCTTGTGATATGTTTACGTATGTAATATGATTTTAAATTATGCCCACATTGTACATTAAAATATTTTTATGAAATGTAATACAGTTTGTATAATTAGGTTCTGTAAAATGCCACAATAATACTTGTAATTATAATTTCTGATTGGGATAATACAAAACTTAAATCAAGGAATATATGTCTCAGTCTCTCTCGCCTTCATTGAGATGGAAAATAAGGAGCCAGTCATTTCTTTCTGAAGGTAATGGTCCTCTTTACCTTAAAAATCAAAGTTTTTCTTTGTTAATTGATTAAATGAGTAGAGCGGTACTTTTGAATATTGACGTTCAAGAACGTTTTGTGGGCAGGCACAGTGGCATTCACCTGTAGTTCTGGCTACTTAGGAGGTTGAAGCAGGAGTATTGCTTGGGTCCGTGAGTTTGAGACCAGACTGAGCAACATGGCAAGACCCTGTCTCTAGAAACAATAGGGAAAATAAAAAATTTATTTAAAAAAATTCTATACTACTGAAAATATCATTTTCTATTATACTTGGCAAGCATCAGGAAATTTGGGATTATTTATACCTTTGAAATAATTACTTAAAATGCTTTCTACATTTTTTTTTTTTTTT